GTTGATAAGTCGGAAGTAGCCATTCAATTGAACTTGCCGCTATTTTGTGGTATTCTGTCGGTCTTACGAAAGGAAGGATTGCGCCTTTGTCAAACCTCTCCCTACCATGATCGAGAGTATTGACCATAAAGTAGGAGCTACGATCGCTTTATTAGTCTGCCGTTTCTGATTCTCAGTCGAATTCGTAATCAGAAACAAAGTCAGGTAAGGGATGCGAGTAAGACTCCGAAACAACGAGCTACTAAAGATCTTATTCCAGCGATTGTAGCTTCTTTTTCCGCGACTGCTTCCCGGAAATTGCCTCTTTTCTTCTCAACGCAGGGCCTCGACTGTGTTGGGCGATTTCCGTTTTGCACTCAGGAGACAATATTTCACGATCTCCTTGCCAACGTTTCAACATTTCCCTTCTTGTTCCCCTTCTAATTGAGGTGCATAATTGCTGGACCGCAAGTATCATCGTGCAAGATAAAACCCGAAAATATCATAATGCGTATGCATCTAGGCTTTTACCGGAACGGCTAAATGACGCAACACTGTTAAGAGATACGGTAAACTTCCTGACCACAATCAGCATTTTTAAGTATTCTTCCGAAAGGAATAGGTTGTTCGCATGCATTTTCGGCGTGGATTAACACAGAAGATAATCGTCATGAGTGACAAAATGCTAACCTCTGGACAATCACCTTTTCATGCAATTGCGAAAAGGCCGCGACTGAAGGAATGCACAAGTTTGTCTCTCCTCTTGGATACCTTCAAAAATGCAATCCTATTTTCCCCAAAAAGACTGAGTCCTAACCACTTTCTTGTCTTTATTTGATCGAAAGTTCTGTCTCCGTCCAATTTAAAGCATGAAAGGAACTAGTATTTCCTTATTACGCAGAAAAGTATGCAGATACTGGTAAACGGTTTCGTGTAGTCTTGTATCCGTACGTTGCATTTACAGAAAATGCTTCGAGAGGCCAAGCAAGCCACCCATCACATCTTCATCAAGAAAATTGTCGGGTAGACTATATTTTTACGCAAAATTTATGTTTGTTCTCTATCTCTTCTCAAGTTTCAGTTGCTTACTTGTTAGACGGTAATTATACTTACTAATTTCATAAGTTGTGGAGAATATAACCACCCTGCTCATGGATTTCAAGATTCAATTTTCTTCTACCTTTCTACAGCATACTGTTTTCGCAAATTCGAAATGTGGACAACGTTATAAAGACAACCATGGTAAGTCCCTATCCCTCCTATTCTCTTTGCTCATGACGTTATGTGCTTGGTTGGGAGAATTGGCGTGCACAATTTGTTCCTGAGTGAACGGCGGCTCCCGCATTCCAACAGAGCATGTGCAATTTATGTTGAAAAGTCACTGCCTCCTAAATCACATACAGAAAGGCTTTGCTAAAATGTTTTGCTCTGGCCGCTGAAGGACTGGATTCTCTCCATAAGGGCATTCTGTATGCTTGCAACCGAAACCTGATATAACCTCTTACAATCACGACGTTTTCGAGATCACTTCTTTGCCCTGACCCAAACTGTTATAAAATAATTGAACTGGACCCCAAACTAACATTATAACTTTGCTGAGGTGGTGGTATACGTAAGTCAGTATTCTCACCACCTGCCTTCCAGATGAAACTTCAGTTATTGTTTCACGAGTTTAGTCATTCATTGTGGCACCGATTTATTAGAGTATAAAAATGAACATCTGCCAATAGAAAGCGATTTTACGTAGGGAGCACCAAGAGTCTGTGTCGGGCTTTTACCTGCTGCTTCGGGTTTTTCGTTGTGAACTAGCAGGATTTGTGTCTTCTTGAAGGTTAGGAATATGATTAAAGACTGTGGTTAGTGCAAGCACACCTAAAACCCCAAGGTCAATATTTTCTTCGTCATAAATTGTCAAACCAATCGCGAAATCAGCATAACCAAATACTTTTAAACCTTTACACATGAATTCAAGGTTTCCAGTCTCTCTGTAGTATACATTCTGTCTAAGAAAAGTGCACGTTTCCCCATGGTTTGAGGAAGGGGTCACATAGTTCTTGTGCCATTTTACAATGGATATGGATTATGCTGTATACTTTATAGGCAGAATTAATAAATTGACGGATACCATTTACTATGAATGACAATTCAACCGTTGTAAAAAATCTCATAATTCAAAACCTCATGAAAACCGACAGAGGCCATTTCTGCAAGTATAAAATGGGAAGAAGATGTTAATTGTTACCAATCGACCACGAGAAAGGATATCTTTCGCTCATTTTCTATAAAATATTTTCAAAAGTAAAAAGGGCATCAAATATCAATGGGAATAATGCATAATAATTAAGTAGCCACTTTTTCACAGAATATACTTTTTACAGGCGGTCAGAATGAAAATCGTTCGAAAGTCGGCAAACCTGACGTCAATAAAATATTTTAGATAAGGCTTTACGATAGCGAGAATTACAACTCTATTTAGGTAGGTTGTTCGAACCAAAAACAAATGTCAAAATTTCGGTAGACGTCTAATTAGACGGGGAATCCACAGCTAAGGCAAGCGAGCAAGTTAATGCGGGAAGTTCTTTAAAAAAATTACCGCGACACATTTTTTTACCCTTGGGATGCCTTCGCCCCAAGCCAGATATGGTTGTCTTTGGGTCTTTATAACCACATCCAGCGAAATAAGACGAACGTTTTGCGAAAGCACCGAAAATGACAGTTTAAGACCTACTTCACTTTTGATCTAAAACCTAGTATAGGTACTGCCGACTTAAGCAGAATTCATGTTCGTTCTTAACACTATCAACTTGTGTGCGAGTTAATCAGGTTAAGGTGGGTTGTAGCAGTTACTTACAGCTGGACGACAAGGGACTGTTTACGCCTCCATTTACTCGCCAGTAAATCTTGTTCCCACACAGGATCGCTTTTCCGCAAATCGCATTTCTTTTTTAGGTTTACGCGAAGATTTTGACCAAGGCATCTCGTGCTACTCTCTTCTTGTTGGATAACAAGAAACAGGAGTTAGTTTCGTCCATTTTCGACATGGGCGACCTCAACAAACCGAAATTTATGTCAGTTAACCAGATCCGGTAAGTCATTTCCTTCGATTTACAATTTCCACAGGAAAATACAAAGACCTACCTCTGAAAACCCCCAATTATCGTATATTTATACACATTTTCTACAGTCGTTTGAAGTCGGTAATTTATTCTCCTCGAACTTTTGTTCCATAAAAATGATACTTTGGGGTACTTTCGCATAAATAAGGTTTTCGTGAAAATGGGTCTACCCTTGGTTTTTACTCGAATGCTTTTATAAATCCATTGCGCTTTTCGCCAGTGAGGTTCATTTGCCCATTATTTCTGTTAAGCATGTTATGTTCGCCCAATCATTTGTAAATGTTACTATGTTCATACTACCTCCATGTGCATTTTTGATTAAAACGTCGTCCGTCTTAGGCATTGGGCTCATTTAGCAGTACCCCGTCTATTTTTCAAAGTCATGTGTGACTATTTGTTTTAGTAAAATATGCTTATCATAACTATCTGATATCAACTTGTAGTTAAATTGGTAGGGATTTGGCCTAGCTGCACCGGTCAACTTAGAAGCTATGCCTGATTGCAATCTCTTTATCGGAAAATGTTTCCGATACAGATCGGGGCAGTTGAACGGTCATTTGTTTCGGAAAGACCAAAGATGAACTTTTCAGGTCCATTTCATTTTTTTTTCTAAAACGACGGCATGAATACTGCAGACTTCATCAGAAATAATTCTCTTTTTTTCACACGATCAAATTGCGCTAACTTGACCTAGATGTACCAGTCCACTTTGAAGCTATCCCTCCTTGAAGTCTGTGGGTGAAGTATATCAGGCGACAGAAAAACTTAAGTAGTAGAGTAAACAAAAACAGAAAATGCCAGAAAGAGTTATTTAAATAACCTACTGTTTGGCAAGAAAAAGCGCGCAATACTTAAAGTAACCAATAGGAAAAAAAGAAATCCACAACTCACAGAACTGCGCAAATTGCGAAACTGCACAAACTGCGGACCTATGCAAAGAAATGCGAATATTCGATATTAAACTAAAGCCATGAAGGACAGGGTTTTTCCCCATTTTCAGCCGAAAACCGACCGCATGTCGATGATAGAACTAAACCAAACCAAGTATGCTACGTTAAAATTAAGTAAAGTAAACTAACCAAGTTAACAAGTAATTCAAACTGAAAAATATCCAATAAAGCTAAGTAATAAAGTAAAAGCGAAACTAACACTAAATTGAAAATCAAAGTAAACTTAATTAAGAGAAAGTAAGGCGAACTAACTAAACCGAAAACTAAACTGAGCCCAATAAATCTAAATAGTAAAATAAACAATAGTAAACTTAACTAAAGTGATTAAACTTAGAACTAAACATTAGCTCAAAAATAAAAGTAACCGTACGCAAGAAAAGCTGCTGAAACACTGCAATCCATGATTACATGAAGTAATAAAAAAGCAAAGTTGGCTTAATATAACGAACTAAGTAGGTAGGTATGTATAGAAAACTACATAGTGTTCCTTAAAGGGAATCGTTACCGAATGCCCTTTTAGGTTATTTGAAGTAAGTTTTGTTAGTTACTGAACTTTCAGTAGAAAATAATACGTAGTTGAGATTCTATGCGTCGTTAGTATCCTGCGGCAGTAATAAAGGTACCTTTTTGCTGATTTTTGCAAACAGAATCTCCGTGGAGAAGGGAATTGCTGGCTATGTGGCGCGAACTGGGAACCCTCTTATCACAAATAATCCGGAATCCAATGAACACTTCTACGAGGCTGTTGATCGGGAATCTGGCTACAAGACTAAAAACATAATTGCTGTCCCTATCAAAGTCGACGGCCAGTGAGTAAGAGTCCTATCATCCAGTATAAAAACGGTGCTTTTCAATGCTTTGTTTATCCATTTGTTTCATGCCTATCTGGTCAATTTGAAGAGTTAATTAGCACTTGGGGGGCAGTGCATAATTAAAGCTGACGCCCAAATGAAAAAAAAACATTTTGTGTAAAGTGCAAGCATTCTTTCTAAGGTAAAAAATGTAGAATATTTTTACCAGATGCTTATATCCGGAATTTTGCCACCCCTTCTGTGTGCAGCTTAAGTAATGCTTTTGTCAACTATAGTTGGCGTGGGTCTTTCAGAAGTGCGCAGACGCCCTCATATGGACTCGCCAGCAGACCCGTTTACTATTCCTTTTTCTTCCACGAACATGCCGTTTCGTAGATTTGTACGGGTCTAAGCCGTAGGCGTGCCTAGAGCACTAAAATTATCACGCCCAGTTCCGTATAGGTAAAGAAGGGTGTCTGAAGCCACGACGCGCGGCAGGCCCGGGCCTTGCGCGCGCGTCTGTCTGCTAGCGTGGTGTGGACGTGAATGCCTAAACGTCATGCGAGAGTGATTCACTGGCCACTTGACCGAATGCTTAGCCAATAGCATTCTACGGAACCTGTGATTGAATGTCCCAGAGGCA